CAGTTTTTCATTACTTCTCAATAAGAAGATATTGTAGGGCATCAGCCATTCTTCACTCATTGCCAGGTCTGGCTTCCTTTGGCATCTGAAGGCAGCAGCTGACCTGAGCTGAGCTGAACTCCTCTCTACAATCTGGAGTGGCTCCAGATATTGAGGAAGAAAGTGAATTAGGAATTGTTGTAGGCTGGTTTTGGTGGCTTGCACCTGTAATCCTAGGACTTTTGGATGTTGGGCTCAGGAGCTGGAGACCAGACTGAACAAAGCGAGACTCTACACAAAAAATAGAGAAATTAGTCAGGTGTGGGGGTGAGCATCTGTAGTCCCAGTCACAGGGAGGCTGAGGCAGGAGGATAGCTTGAGTCTCAACCTGAGTTTGAGGTTGCTGTGAGCTAAGATGACACCATTGCACTCTACCCAGGGCAACAGAGTTAGACTCTGTCTCAAAAAGAAAAAGAAAAAGAAAAAGAATTATTTAGATTTAGCTTCTTCCTGGGAGCTGAGTATCGGGCGAGGTGTTTTCAGAGAGCTCTTGCAAGTCCGAGAATCCTGCATGGTCAGGTTTCTTTCTCCTGGATCTCACATGGTAAATCCCAGTGCCCATGGGATGAAGCCCTGCTTAGTCCTAACTCTTAGCGTCTTGGTCTCCTCCTATGTTTGCTGGTATCAAGGTTAAAGGACATGTAAATAAGGCATCAGCTGTGTGCTATGTCCCTTGTAGTTTCCTCCTTTCCACCCTAGGGCTTGCTCTTCTGCAGAGTTCCAAAACTGCCCACAAAACTTCCCTGCACCAGCAGCCAAGCCAGATTTCCCACTGGGTTATAATTCATGTAGTGGCAGCGTCAAAACCAAATAGTTTCCTTACGCGTTCATTCATTCCAAGAATAAAGACCTGGATTTCTAACCTGGGTGCACCAACTCCACCTCTGGAGGTCTCTAATTCCCTGAAATGGTGCCCAAATGCTGGGATAGGGCCCACGTACACTTCGCGTGAAGGACTAAGGCTTTCGTTACGCAGTCAAGAGGGTTCTGACCAACAAA